CGTGTTCTTGCTTTTCGTGAATTTAATGATCGACACACCGGCGATAATATTTATATTCTCATTGAGCGTATTTTAGTTGAGTATAATTTGATTGATAAGGTGTTTGCTATTGGTTTTGATAATGCTACTAATAATACTGCGGCTATTCCTAGATTGCGTGAATTGTGTGGTTCATCTTCTTTGATGGGTAGGTTTTTTCATCAGCGTTGTGCATGTCATATTTTAAATTTATGTGTAAAGGACGGTCTTGCGGCGTTGGGAGATGCTTTGGAGGTGGTCAAGGGGGGGATTAAACTGATTTGGGCTAGTAATCCACTTAAGATGCAATGGAGAAATTATTTGAAAGAAAGACGTGTCAAATATTGTGCTTTTCCTAAAGATTTGTCTATTCGTTGGAATAGTACTTATAATTTAATTAAAGTGCTTATTAGATATAAAAACCATTTTCCCGCTTTTTTAAGAGAATATGCTAACTATATTATAAACCCGGCCGATATCGACACTTGTGAAAAAATTGTGAATGTTTTGGTGTTTTTTAATAATGCCACTGAAACTTTTAGTCATGTTTATAAACCTACCGCAAACCAATTTTTTGTTGAAGCTGTTAATCTCGCCGGCGCTTTTTCTGAATTCTCTGACGCCGCTTACGTTAGTTATTTTTGTGACTTCATGAAACAAAAGTTTTTAAAATATTATTCCTATATTCCGCATATATATGGTATTGCATTTGTTCTTGATCCTCGTTTTAGACTTTATTCTTTGGAGAAATGTTTAGATTACTATTATGCTTCTTTTTTTGGTCCATTGCCTATGTACGACGACAAGGCCATAGACCCTAAACAACAATTCCAAGAGGTTAGTAATTTATTATATCAATTATTTAATGAGTTTCATGCACAATATGGTAACGCACCCCCTCCCCCGCCACGAACATCTTCTTCATCTAAAGGAAAATCAATTTTCAAATCTGCATTTGGCAATCTTATGAAAAAAAGTAAATCAACTCCGGTTAATGAACAAAGCTCGATCAACGAGCTTTCTTTGTATCTAACATTTCCTGTTGATTATGAAGAAGGGGATGACTTTGACGTTCTTCAGTGGTGGAAGGAAAAAGAGAGAACGTTCCCGATCTTATCAAAGATGGCTAAGCAAGTGCTAGCAATGCCGGTATCAACAGTTGCTGTGGAACAAGAGTTTAGTGCGGCCGGCAACGTCCTAACGGATTATAGAACGAGATTAAGCGCAAACTCTCTTGAGACGCTTGTTTGCTTCCACGATTGGTTGAAGGCCAAACGTAGAACTCAAGAAATAAGCATTGAACCCACTCGCCACTTTATGGAAGAAACAACTGAAGATGGAGGAAATTCTAATTGATTCATACTTCATTACTTATTATAAAGTGTATTTCATGTTTTTATTTTTACTCAATTTTCAATTGTACTACAAATATCAAATAAATATGTTTTACCCTTTTTTATGTCCAAGTAATATTAATTTAATTTTGGTATCAAAAAAAAAAAAAAAAAAATTAAAGCCCGGGCCCGGCCCGGCCCGGCCCGGACCCGACCGGGTCGACCCGGCACGAACCGGACCCGGTATCACCCCGGGCCGGTTCCGGGCCCAACAATCCCCAAAAAAAGCCCGCCCGGGCCCGGCCCGGAACCGGAACCGGCCCGGCCCGGGTCCATCCCTAGTCTGGACAGGTTTGGTCTAGTCTGGTTTGGGACAAATTACAGTCCAAGTAAAAACATCCTAGTCTTGTAGATTAGTTGAAATATACTCCGTATAAAATACAAATAAAGTAATTATGAGCTCATTTGGTAATTTTTTTTTACCTTATTAGCCTTATTAGCCAACTTTTAACCATACACGTAACATTTGATTTAGTGTGCTGAACTGTGTAATAATACGAAAAAATAAGATTTGGTTACTTTTATGACTGTATTGGCTGAAGTTACTGTAGATGATCATTTTAGCAATCTTTATATAATTTTTTCTTTATTTTATTAAAAAGATATATTTTAAATATAATTTTTTTAAATCACCAGAATCAGGCAATGCAACCACTTCTGACAGAATTTTATAAATTTCAGCAGAATCAGCATAATCGTAGCCGAATTCTTTTAAATATTCAATGATTAGTTCTTAGTGACTCATACTCCAGCTGAATTGTATAATAATCAAAATAAGTGAGTGTAGAGTTTTTTCTAATGAAATTGACTTGGACTTTTTAAAGCCAACTATTTTAACCTTTTCATCTAACTTCTTATTTATATTACTACGAGGCCGTTTGATAGTACTGGTTTTCGGCTTATTGAGCTTATCAGTCAATTTTTTTACCAAACACATAATTTTGGCTTTCGCGCGCTGAATTGTGTAATAATAAGAAAAAGTAAGGTTGGAGTTACTTTTCTAGCTGTAATGACTAAAGTTACTGTAGATGACCATTTCAACTGTTTTACATATTATTTTTTCTGTTTTATTAATAAAATATACTTTAAAACTATTTTTTTCTTAAATCAGCAAAATCAGCCAACGCAACCACTTCAGCCAGAATTTCATAAATTTCAGTAGAATCAACTAGGGCTGCACATCGGATGGGTTAGGTCGGGTTTGCTATATTTTTTGGGCCTACCCAATTTGTTCAAGTTTGCTATTAACTAACCCGCGGTATGCATCTTTATGTGGGAAATTAATATAACCAATTTAAAACTCGATTAACTTGTCTCCAAAACACACAAACAAATATAAGTACTCGTATCTTCATAAGCAAAAACATTAGATAATAGTATTAAAACATCCTTCTATCAAGAAAGTTCATTTAGAAGGAAACGTAAATATATAATAATCACATAGTCAAAATGGTAAATGTTTAATTATAATTCTAATATCATAATGTCCTAGATAAAGCACATTGGTCTTAAATTGAAATTATCCAAGAAAACATTGTAGCATAATAATAGTAAAATGAACTTCGATCGGGTCAGGTACTATCAGGTTTGAGATTTTAATTCCGCAACCCTACCCATTAGGTGATAGTTCAAACATATTTAACTCATGAATATTTTTTAAAATCAAATACCCAATTAAATAGGGTCGGGTAGGGTTGGGTGTTGAATTGATAAAATAAGAATAAAGCAAAACAACAGTGATTTAGAATCATACAAACTGTACAAGGCAAAGGGAATATTTTTTTCCCATAATCGTTATTTCATTACTTAGACGCCTTTTATGATTTACTTATATTTTTAGTCGTTTTATTTCTATTTTATATATTCCAGCTAATTTTCAAAATTGGTTTAATAAATAAAATTAAAATAGACTTCAAAGGAGGAACATTAAGTCATTAACCGTTGTCAAATCTCTTAAATGAGTTCATGGTTAAATAAAGGGGTTGTTGCCTTGCTTTCAACTAATTTACAAAATTATTTTATTTTTGAAAAGCACAAAATTAGTTAATAAATACATAGTACAATTAGAATATATATTCCGTTTAAAGTTTAAAGGAGTCCCTGACTCCTTAACTTTTGCTAACTCCGTTAAAAGCAGGGGGTGATTGCCTCTTTTGATCGGTTTCAAAGATTTTTGCACAAAAAAAGAGTTTAAGGGCTTAGATGCCCTTTGGTGACAACTTTGAGGGTGTTTTTGCCCCTTTCCCTTAAAAAATCTAAAAGGAGAAATAATGACAAAAACAATATCATAGATTTCAATTCGGAAAAAATATGATCATATTTTCGTTTGGACACAAAAGAGACCAAATAAAAGAGGATCAAAATGTCCTCCATAAAAATACTAACCAAAACCCTAACCTTACAACACGTGCATCCATGTGTTCACAACGAAGAATCTAATCGTTTGTCTCGCTGTCTATGTGACTTTGCCGTCCCCTTACATTGACCTACACCTACCCCACACCAATCTTCTTCTTCATTATCTTTCCATTCATGGGGAGGTAAACGAGAATTGTCATCTACCACATATGTCGTTGTCCACGACGGAGCAATGACCTGGTCTGAGGGGTGATGTCGAATGCTAGGGGCGATTTTCACAATTGCGGTGAGGCTTTCAGGTCAGGTTGACTGACAACAATGAGTGACAGCAATGATAGGCGACAATGACAATGATCAATAATGGTTGTGGCAATAATAGGGGTAGTAGGGACGTGATGGGGGTGGTTGAGCAATGACATATTTGGGTTCAAAGGAGGTCAATGGCCAAAGTGGCGGGATAGCAAAAACTTTGTAAATGAAAATTAAATAAATTTTTTTTATAACTGTATAAAAATTGATAATTGAAATAGAATAAACTAAGGGGACATTTTTTATTTTGAACCTAAAAGCATCATAAGAAGCAGGTCATAAAACTAAATGAGAAAAGTTTTTTTATATGAATAAAAGTAGGTGTAGTGAAATTGACATTAGAAGATTTGTAGATTTCGTGCATGGCAATTTTTATGTTCATGATTACATAGAAATTGAGAAAAACAGAATACAAGAGTGATTTTAATAGGTAAAATACAAAATAAATTTTAAGGAAAATGTTTAGCTTTTAAAAGTCGGGTAGAAGTAAAAAAACTTAGTGATTCATTTGGAGATGAAGGATTGAAATATTAAATAGGTAATAAATATATAAATTATGTATTTCATATGTATATGACTTGAAAATAAATTTAAATGATTCATAAAGAAATGAAACTTCACTATTCATAGGTAAGAAAAAGATTTCGTTTCACTTATGTTAGTTGTGTGCCTTCAACTAAAAAGTAAAAACCTATAATTCACACAACAAAGAAATGAAGCCAAAATAAAATTCTTACCGTGTATCGCTAGGAACAAAAATTATGAAATTTGTACAACTTTTGTCATATCCTTCCCCTTAGTAAAATTTGTACAACTTATGAAATGAAATTATTCTTTTCTTTTTTGGGTACAAATCCCTCCCCTTATTATTCTAATGACGCGTTTATTTACGCAGGCCTATTCAAATCTCCAATTGCCCAAAACCATTTTTAAGTGAAACCCTTGATAAATCTCATAGATCTCCACCGATTCGACATGGCGGCATCATCTTCCTCCCTCTCGGACTCTTCCTCGTCCTCATCCCGCCGTCGCAAACGGCGCCTCCGCCGTCACAGGGACCGTGACATGCCAAATGTCCGGAAGGAAAAACGCCCCCACATCAAACGACGTCATGACCGCCCTCCCTCGTCCTCCGACAGAGGCCGCTGCTCATCTTATTCGTCTTCTGATTATTGCAGGTAATTTTGTATTTAGTTTCCTGCCTCTGATCTGATCTTAGGTTGAGCTGAATTTTAAATTATTCAGTAATTTCGTTAGTGTGTCGTATAAGTTATGTGCTGCAGTCAATTAACTAGTATCAATACTGACGGTGTTGTACAGCCAGTGATGTCAGATTGCAACTTTTTTTCTTACTGTTATCTGGGCGACTTATTGCATAAGTGATAAGTGCATAACTTTGATATGTGGGCATTAAAGACTCCGAACATTCAAGGGGACCAAAAACTAATTTGTAGCCAACTATGACACATAAATACAATTACTATGTATATTCTAATACTGCTCAACATTATCTTCATGAGTCATGACATTCTCATTATCTGATAATGTAAAGTTATTGTATTTTTATCTCGTTAAGCATACTATCAGATTTGTCTTCTCAGTGTATCATCCAATAACAGCTGTAGGAATTATCCCCACTCATTCATCATTCTACTAGATATTCACTGAATATTGAACCTCTGCAACCTTTGTTGCACATGGTTTCATAGCTACTGAACTTCATTATGAAAACTTTAACAATTAGTTGAAAGTTCAATTGACAGAAAAATAAAAATCTCTGGCATTCATGTGGCGTTTCAATAGGGAAAATGAACTGATGAAACCAATTATTTGTTCATAATTGAATTTGGGTAGTGTGTGATTCAATGACACTAGAACAATGAGTAGATCTTATGTAGTTATGTAGCAACTCAACTAAACCCTTCACGCTGCTTATTGACTTCTGGTCTGTCTCTGATTTATGGGACTTTTGTATAGTCATTCCTCTGTGCTAAAAATATGAATGGTCTATTAGAAAAATAGTACAGGTTGATGAAAACATGAAGGGGTGTATTTTGATTTTCATAAAATCCTTTTTTCTGAATACAAATTATGGTAATTTAAATTCAAACCTGATGTAAACAAATTTGTGTGCATTTCATTGTCTGCACTCTGCAGCTCTTCAGACAGTGATCATGAATCACCGGAGCATCATAAAAAGCGCAAACACAAAGATACATCTAGCAAGGTTGTGTATTGACATTTGGTAACTTTGAGAACACACTATGCTTGTTAGGTGCTTCACTGATTGATGACATTTGGTATCTTTTTCAGAAAAAGGACAAGAAAAAAGGAAAAAGACACAAGTCTAAACATCAAAAGCATAATACCAAGGAGGTAGGCCATCCGTGTGTTCCGTTATGATCCCAACATGGAATCATATGTATTTCTTGTCTTCTATTTACTATCTTACATTCACAGTATATATGTTCACTTCTCTAGTTACCCAAGGAGGGTTTGTAGGTAATAGCGGTAGTTTATGGCATTGAGCTATTCTTCATGATATCATATGGCATTTTTTTAAGCAGAAATTTACTCCCTCTGTCCCTAAAAGAAGTTCCATTTCGCTTATCGAGGGTCAACTTAAATCACTCTTAAACTCTTACTTTTTATATCAAAATTTTATAAAAGTTGAATTATTTTTTGCAGGCTTTGTAGCGGGTTTAATGCAGCTTCTGAATATGTATTTTATTTACTAAAAATAATCCGAGTTTTCACAGGGATCATTTCACTTTATCGTCGGTCAACCTTCGTAATCTGCAATTGGAACAACATTTAGGGACGGAGGGAGTATTAAAATTCAATTAAGAAGAGTACAAAATGATGGTGAACGAAAGCTAGTGAAACAAATAAATCAAGTGAAACAAAACCGCTAATGAGTGAATAATCCAAAAAGGCCCCGCAAATCCATATGGCATATATATATATATATATATATATATATGTGTGTGTGTGTGTGTGTGTGTGGGGGGGGGGGGGTGATAGAAAGTGTGTGAGAGATATAAAGTGTGTCTGTCTTTGCACTTTAATGATTTGTAGTGGCATTACATCTTTCTCTTGAACTATGAGATACTTATGGTACTTTTATACCTTTTCATTATATGGCTCTTTGAAATTGGAGCTGGGGTTTGGCATGACAACTGGTGCTTGATTGGCTCGCCATATCTTTGATTTTGGCTCGTGGTTTATGACGTCACTGTGAGTTGCTTATAGAAACAGGAGAGATGTAGTAGCCCTGTACAACTGTCCAAGGTTTGTGCGTACAAAATTTCTGTAACGGAATTCCTTCTTTTAATTTCCTGCCCAGTTTTGATTGACTTCTCTAATGCATTTATCCAGTTTTTGGGCCGAGACAAGGATGATGGTGTCCGTCGCAGTGCTGTCTCTGGCAAGAAGGTAAGCTATTTGGTGGTCTTAGTTTATTTTACTCATTATATTGTTAACTAATTTGAGACAGTCAATTGACACTAAATTTCATTTCACCAACGCCAGTTTGAGTGATGAGTAAGTTGGCGGTTAGAACTTAGAAGTGTTCATGTTTCAGTCTGGACCTAAAAAATGGACTGGACTGTTGGAGTGTTGGGTCCTGGCTGTGTCAGGACTGAAAAGATTTAGGTATGGTCCTCAGTCCAGATTTTTAGATTTGGTCAGGTCTGGAGGGCCCGAGACCGGATATTTTCTGTCTTGTCCTATTAGATCTTAGGCAATGTTTTTTTACACATTTTTTTCTTAGCATTAATATTTTCTTAAATTTAATATAATCTTAAATTTTATATTATGGTACACGATTTCGCTCCAGTCTGGGATTCTATCAACTGGATACTGTTTTGGTTTGGTCTTTGGTCCAAGATTTTTGAGTTTTAGTGTGTCGTCCACTCTGGTTTAGTTGGGGTCTTGGGCTAATGAAGCCCTTACTGTTGGTGATGACTGATAATGATTCACATGGTCAATGGTATTCTTAAAAATTTAAAACTTTGTCCTTGACTAGAGAAAATGGGAAATTGTCAATATCATGCTTTTCAACTTTCAGATTCTCTTGAAGCTTGACAAAACAAAGGAGGACAAGGAAGCAGAGAACAAAAGGAACGAATTGCTCAGGTTCTTGAATGCAAGTTATGACTGATTATGTGGAGAATACAAGCCCTTCCGGTTTCATTTTGTGGGTGGAAGTGGACTTGCCTGAAGCCTTGGGTGATTATCACTGTCCTTGTGTGTTCAACTCATTTTCATAGTATTGCATGGTGAAGTTAAAGGGTGCTGTGATGTGCGGCCTTGACATTCCCCCAGTGAAGGTTTCACTGTCTGTTCTACTCTGATTCCTGAAATGTGGCAACCTTTGGTACTTTATTATTAGGCAGATTTTATTTTGGGGTTGTGCCCTATTATCTTGTTTTTCTTTCCCTTTAGATTTTTTTTATGAAAAGAATACTTTTCTTCTCTTAACATATTTTATTTTTATTTCTGCAACATACAAGTAAACCTTATGAAAAGGCTAATATCTATTTTGCATTGAAATTGACAGTGTCCTTTGCATTTCAAAATGTTATGTTATTATTAAGAAAGTTGTGTAACTTCAGAGAAAATTGTGTTATTATTAAGAAAATGGATTTATGTGATTGATATTTGATAATATGAATGATTTAAAATAGAAGTTGTTCATATTGAGTAAATCCAACAACCTTTTTTCGGTGTTCAGCTCTTTCTAGATCATATGTTGGGTAGTTAAGTAGTTTCATCATACTTTTAAGCTTCATCAAAACATGAAGTCAAACATTACGATTCATGCTTCCAGAGTCCAGTTGCTTCGTACGGAGTAATATTTAATTGGTCATATTTTAAAAGTGTGAGATGGACTATGTATTCTTCACATAAACATTGTTCCTACACCTAACTGACCTAAGACAGCGTTATTGTGTAAGCTCAAGTTTGTGATTGGAAACAATGTACTATATTACTCGGTGTTAGAAACAAGTTTTTCTAAAATGAAACCAGGCAGTAAATTATTTTTTCTGGCTCCAATATACGAGTAAATTTTTAGAAATTTATAGCTATGAAACCATGTGGGTGATTATAAGAGTGGACCGGCGGAGGGTCATACTTGCTTCGAAAGTAAAATACAAAAACATAATATTAACATCATTTGAACTACAAGGCATAAAGGAGTGAAAAGACCGAGTTCACATAGAAATACTAGAATTTAATGCCCCCAATTATCACACTGCATGTGATAACTGCATCTGTAACAAAAAAAATAGAAACAAATAAACAAAAAATGAGGTTAAGAGGCTCAATGTATATGATTTTTTTAAGATGCTCCTTATGGAGCTAAAAGAGGCCAAAATCAATAAATGAAGTAAAATAGCATCAATTGTGGGTGTAGTTTACTCGGAAACCGAATTAAGAAATATGCAAAAAATGAAGCATTTTAGGAGCGTTTACTTACATTTCAATTGCAGTGGCTGCAGATTTGAGCTAAGGAGACAGCAATTTTAGCACCAATAAGTGCATTGTTTTTCACAAGTGCAATATCTGGAGCCCAGTATAAGGAAATTTCATAGACTGAACTGACGCATATCTATTTAATAAAAGGCATGAAGTGTACAAGCTCCAAGAAACTTTAGCCACACTACCACGTTATTCACATAGGAATGTAAAGGGGAAAAGAAAACAAAAAGCCCCTTGAGCCACTGGTGAAGGATACTAGAAGCTAGAGAAGCTCCTCCAGTTAGTTCATTTACTCTAGCAAGCAAGAATGGAGTTTGAGCATTTCCAGTTATGTTCTTTTCCCTGTCCGTGTCATATTAAGATGTGAACATACACCTATATATTATAAGATGACATCGATAAAAGTATCCCCACTTTGATACTTACTGAGCTTCTAGAAGAGCTCTTTGCACTGCTGATTCAATGAAACTTCCTGAAGCAGAATGTTGTTTCGGGATAGGGGCTGCTATTAAGATCCCAGTTTGAAGCCCGAGTTTAGTGTTGGCATCTGCAAGCAGATTATGTAAAACAAATTAATGAAGTACGGGTAACCAATCACACATTTAACCAAGTAAAGAGGACAAATCTGTAAATAAAGAGTACAATCTTATTATCTGACCTTCCATAGATCATGACACCAATATATAGAGAGATAAAGAGCACATCAAAAGACAAAGGCACATAAGGAATCAAAGGTTATATAGGGCATATATGAAGAGTTAAGCACAAGTTGAAGCTCAGCTCTGTCTCAGGGCTGGGGCGGTTATATGATAACTTCATGAGTTTCGAACTTGTTACACTACACCATATTATTAATCTTCTAAGAGATTTAGCAAGCACATCCACTAACTGGTAGTTTTAATTAACAAACTTAATGATGATGTATCTAGACTTGATCTTCTTGTCATTTCGTGGGCGAATTAACAGTCCACCTCTATATGTTTGGATCTTTCATGAAACTCTGGACCAACTGCAAATGTAGGGCAGCTTGATTGTCAAATATCAACTTCACAAGTCGAGGTCCCACACACCTGTGTGTCTCCTTTGGCAACAAATCTGAATTTTAGCGTGACTACCTGTCCATGAGGACCAATACGATATTATATAACCATCAATACCGCACAACAGATTATTTGGGGGGTAGACACATAAGTTCCCAGGTCAGCAGGTCCCATATGAATGAAGAGCTTCAATTTCATCAGCCATGTCCATTCTTCAACCTGGATGAAAGAATACTTGCCTAACACTTTTGGGGACAGAAATAGAAGAAGAAAAAAGTAATGTAGGCAGTGATAAACACAATCGATTATATGAGAGGAAGTTATCGATAGAGTAAGAATTGTGAGTGGGCCTTGTACCTATTCTGCTGGCAATGGGATGAGTAATAGTTTTATATTAGACCGAACCTGGGGGAAAGGATGTCACTAGAATACATGAATTTCACCATCTTCTTGGGTTAAAATCTCAGTGCTGATGCGTATAGGGGACCTGCAACACTGGGAGGTTCTCTGAAATTCCTTGAGAAACTGTTTTTTTAAGCATATTGGGAAAGCATTGGCTCAGACGTACTAAGGACAGACATTATGGAAGAATAGGTTCTAGGTCAGGAAACCTTTTTTTAAAGGAAGTTTTATTAATGAGAAATCATGAGAAAACAAGAAAGATAAGAGAAGAAAATAAAGTGGAATACAAGAAAAATAAGTACAAGAAATACTAGCAAAACCAACCCAAAAAGCATCAAAAATATGAAGAGGCATAGTCATCGCGAGCAAGGACAGTAGCACTGAAAACCCCTTTGGAGAAGAGAGTACAGCATGAACACGCACTTGTTATTGTTGTAGCAGTAGAGATAGTATTGGTGTTGGGCACATGATATAATCCTAAGTGGCCCACATCTTGCATCAATCGTCTTTTTGAACTGTCCGTCATGTACAATCACACACTTAATGGAGAATGCAAAATTATAATCTAGACAACTGTTAAGTTTATTGATAGATACCCCAAGAATCCAGACAATTTACAGAAAGAAAATCAAGAATTCAAACTGAATTTTATTGATGAAGAAGAACAAGAACAGTCGTAACAAGAAACTGGCCGAAGCCCCCAATGAGCCGAAGCCCCCCAAAAGAAAGAGATTAGCTCTCGAATCTTCCTAAGTCCCAAGACCGAATGTCTAAAACAGCCTACCCGACTACTCCCCAGTCTAGTCTATTTATACTAACTATTACACTTATTATTATTCTTGGTTTATTAGGCCCAATTCTTAACAGTCCATTAGGCCCAATCTAATAGCTACTAGTCTATTTAATAGTCAATAGGTGGGTCCCTATCAATACTCCCACCCTAAACAACCACCTTGTCCTCAAGGTGGGCGATAGGAAACCGCTATGATCTTCAGCTTCCTCTTCTTCTTTGCGCCTCTTCCTTCCCAGTACTTGACTGGTTGATGGATTAGTGAATTCAGTACAAGATTTATTATCACAGAACTTCCCACAGCAGAATAATTTTGTAGTGCAGTTTCCTTCTGTTCAGTCACCTTCCCGCACTCCATATCAAAAAATATTTCTTCACCTTTTTGCAGCCCCTCATGCTTCCCATGTTCTGAAACTAATACTGTACTAAATGGAAACTCCTTTATGCAGCTTTCAACCTCTCCCCCTTTTTCATCCTTGCCTACCTTATTTGAGAAAGAAAACCTTAAAGGTTTTGGCAGGTAAGTAAGGATACCCCTTATTCCAGTTGCATTTCTCCTAACCAAGGAACATGAAGGATTATTTCCCAAGTAAGGCTTCCAAAATTGGCGTCCTAGCAGGTAAGCAGATTCTTCCCCGGAAGAAAAAATTGCTATTTTCAAGCCTTGTTTCACTTTCACCTGTTCCTTAGTTTCAATATCTTGTTCCACATAACTTCCTGCTGTTTTGTCATTGATATAACTTGTAGTTCTGAGCACTCCTGTCACATAATCCACCCCTAAGTTGTCAGGTGAATCACAACTAATTGGTCCCTTCCCACTGAGATGTACAATAGCAGAAGAAACAACTGGAGCATATTCTTGATGATCCTTCGAATTATACGGAGCTGGAAGTCCCTCTTCAACCTGGGTTTTAAAGATTGTTATAAACATACTAGAAGAGTACATCTCAAAAGTCAATTCTTGATTGTACACTGCTGTTTCAGCCTCTTTATCATCCATAACCAGTCTTCCTCCACTCATAACATTCCTCCCAGTTGGTGAAATTCCAGGCGAAATCAATGCCCTAATTTGAAAATTAGCATGTGATTTCCCAGAAAGATGATAAACACGATCCTCAAGAAGAACTGGACCATACCTCTTTTGTTCCAAGGAATTTAAATCCACCTTGTTCGCAACCTGTCTTTTCTCTTCGATTTCTTCCTTGTCATTCATTTTCTGGAATACATATTTATTTCTCTCCACCTCAATCTCCTTTATTGACTGAAAAAAACCTTGCGCAGGTTCAGAAATAGCTTGTGACCCAACTGGCGAATCCGAAGATTCTTTTTCTGATCGTGATGCCTCCTTAGGCAAGTTGATCGAGGATAGGGATGTGCGCGTATACAGACTATCTGTTTCTAATCGCTGCAATCTGCGAGTCGAAGTTCGCGACTCAGTCTTCCGATGGTTAAGAGACTGTGACGACTTTAGTGTGTCAAATACTCGAAGGGGCCTAGACTTCCTCGATCGTTCTCCACTCCCTCTGCGAAGCTTATGCTCCTCCGATCTCTCTGAACTATCTGAGTGTCGATGATGAGAGTTGCGATGCATAGGAGAGTAGTCAAAATTCTCTTCTGATTTCTTTGGGTTAGATGACCTTCGCGAATGATGATGTGAAGTATGATGAGAAGAGCTATGCGAAGAGCGATGGGAGGAGTTATGCTCAGATCGATGGGAAGAGCTTGGCGAAGAATGATGCGAAAAATTCTGTGCCTGGTGAGAAACTGTACGCGATTCTGACAAATGAGAAGAAGTTCGCGATTTGGACTGCGATGAGGAATTCTGGGTATGGTGAGAATTCTTTGGCGACTCTGTCTGCGACCTTCGCGACTCCTCTTTCTGCGATTGCTTCTGCGACTTTGTCCTCGATCTTCCTTGC